TCTTTATCACCACCTGTGATATTGGACCAGTCCCTATTGATTGATTTTCAATTAAGTGAAGTACCAGATTGGGATATGCTGAGCTAAGAGAGTGGGGTCCTGAAGGCTGTCAAGTCAGAGTGGGCTTGGAGTGTTTTGTAAGAGGCTAGATCAGAAGCCTTTCTTCATGCAATCCTTTCAGTGGTATGACCATAGATCTCAGCCTCTGATCGATGGAAGGCCAGAAATCCCATTTTCATGCAGCCTAACCTGATTATAACTTGTTCCAGATAATTGGATATGACTTTCATAGGATAACCAGTAAAACCTGATCAAAAGAATAATTTTTTGATTTTGGTTCTTAAGTGATATTGAACTACAGACCTTGTGATTGCGACCTGGGAGCACTACTATTATATTATTGATCCACAGGTCTTATTTGATATTATTTATATAATAATATATAATTAATTAAATTATAATAATATAAATGACATATTATGTATTATATTATAGTTTGTATTATTCATAATTTATAAATATAATCTTAATTCAAAAAATTTCGCATATAAGTTTATTAATTTTTTTACTTTATTATTGATGAATAGTTGTTGAATTTTAAATAAATAATTAATAAATAATTTAATGAATTATTAATAAATTTTTAAATAAATAGTTTTGATAAATAGTTGACAAATAGTTAATGAATAGTTGACGAATAGTTGATGAATGGTTGATGAATGGTTGACGAATGGTCGACGAATAGTCAATGAATAGTTGACAAATAGTTGACAAATAGTTGACAAATGTTTAACGAATTTTTGACAAATAGCTGCAAATATAGTTGACGAATAGTTGACGAATAGTGAATAAATAATTGATGAATTTTTGACGAATTTTTAATAAATAGTTTTGATTGTCAATTTTTGTAGTTACCAATTTATTTATGTCATTTTTTTTGTCAAATTGTTTATTTTTTGTTGAATGTTATACGAGTGATAGTATTTTTGCCAAATGTTACACGAGTGGCAGTATGCCGAATAATTTTTTTCAACTAGTGATGAGTATTGGAAGGGAGGGTCCGTCATCCAATAACCTATCCTTTTTTGCCATTGTGATAGTTCTATCCTAAAAAAGAAAGTCTTGACATGTTTGGTTTGCACTTTATTGAATTTGATAAATATTATACTATTTTCTCCAAAATACTATTATTTTAAAAGGTTGATCCATAGTTTTTTTTTTTTCAGACTGCACATTGGTCCTATCTTTTGGTTGATATGAATGATAAATCTTACAATCTATCAATCTAATGCTTCTAAAAGATAGGCGTGACACTTCTTAGGCATTATCCTTTTTTTATGTATCCTTGAGTCTTGTTATAAGTATAGTTTTACTTGAAAAATTCATATAGTATGTTGTTAGGTTTCTTTTTTGATCAAGGCACTAATATAGGAGAGACTATATTCTATATTCACCTGCACAATAGACCTAGTGTCTTACAGTAAAACTCAGGTTCTTATGGAGCTGAAGAAATATATTTAGACACGTGAGATGACCAATAGAGGCTTGTTTACATTCTTTTACTGATATGTTTTCTGCTAGCCAATCATTGCTTGAGAAACTTTGTGCTACTCAAAATTCAGGGTCAAACTGAGGTATATAAAATTCTCCAGAAAAAACTAAGAAAGAATATTCTTAGAGTGAACACATGACAAGAGAGTAAGTAGTTGCCTTCAAGATAAGTCTTTTATTATAAAAGAGACTTTGTATTATTTTTCTAGTATATGAATAGATAACAACATTTTAGTTTTTCTTCCTTTCAGAACTTTCTTGCAATTAATAAGAAAGGTGAATATATGATTTTGGTCACTGAAAATCAGGTTTTTGCTTGAAGAAAATGTTTACAAAAGGAAGGGAAAATAAAGATGACTCTTGAAATGTTATTTCAAGTTGGTTTAAGGAAAATAGTAAGACTTTATTAGTCAAGAAATATAAAAATTTCTTATGAACATCTTTTTTGTGTATAATTAAAGGATCAACAGAAAGAGACAAGATTGTAATTTATAAATAGTCAATTTCTATTTTACATTAAGTTTTTTTAAATAATAAAAAGGTTTTATTAAACAAAAATTTCAAATTTCAAATTTTATTTTATTCAAACAAAGTTTTAAAGAGATTTTTTTATTTTGATTAAGCAAATTTTTCTAAAATAAAATATTAATACTAGCAATTGTAATTAATAAATTTATATATTAGTAAAATATAAAATTTTTAATTATTTTTCTTGAAGTTTTACTATTCAAGAATAGTCAAGTTCTTTAAATATCATGAAATCAAAAGATATTTCAATTAAGCAAAAATTTTTTAAAAAAAATTTAATAATTAGATTAAGAATCTTTTAATAAAGTTTTAAATTATTTTTTTTTCTTTACTACTTATACTTTAATAATTTATTGTTTCTTAGAATAATAAATGATAATAAACTATTAACAATAATTCTAGTAATTAGAGATTATATGCTAAATTATCAAGAGAGCATAACATTGTTCCTTAACCTGAATTAGAATACTTAATTAAGATTTGGTTTATTTAGTCAAAATTAGTTTAATGAACTTCACATATTTTTTAAATAATATAATTTTTTAATTAAAGACAAGTTGGTTGTCATATAAAAGATAGTAATTATTAGATATTCTCTTAATATTGCAATAAATATATGTCGTGATAATATGATTGCTGATAATCAAAAAATAATAATAATTTCGAGTTAATAATATGTTACTGTAGTTAGATAAATTTACAATCTAATCTGACTATTGGTTATATGGTTATATGCAAAAAAAAGAAATATGAGAATAATTCGAAAAATAGTTTAGGTTGATGTCAAAAATAGCGAGAGATACTATATCTATATCGATATAAGCTTATCCTGTATACTGTATGTATATATTATTACACGACATCGATATGCAATATATAACATTAACATTTTTTATTTATGATAACCACTATTGCATTAGTATGAATATCACCATAGGTTATCGACGTAAATGGAAAAACATCCGATCTATTCTTTCCAAAAAAAATAATAGATATGCAGTATATATACTCATCCAATTATAAAATTTGGAAGTTAATGCATTCTTGATCTGATCGAGTTTTTCCTGTATTGAGGTAGCGTTCTTCGATTAGGTTTTCGACGGTCCTTTAAGTATCATTCCCCGTTAAAGGGGCGCGACATCAAATCTCAACTAAATACAAATCATCTATTTGTAGCAATCAACATAATGGCATTCGCTTCAAAAAGGTTTTGATCACCGCCTGTGCACCGCATAAAAAGTTAGCGTAAATATTTAAATGTTCGTTAGGCGGGTGGTGATGGCGTTAAGTGAAAATATGCTGTTATACACTTGGTAACATGCAAACAGGTATCATTCGAGCGCACACCATAACGGATACGTAATCATTACCATTGGGGACGGACATCGGGGAGTGTGTTACATCGGTGATGGGACCCCTCTACGCAGTGTCGAAACATGATTTTCTTGTGCGTTTGCAACGACATGCGTATCTCATCGTCCTAACAAACATTTGTTAGTCGACGCAAGTGACACGCGCAGAGAAGCACACGAAAGTATCAAGAAAAAGTGTCAGCGGTTATACCGATGGTTGTGGTAATGCTCGTTTTTTTTTTTTATGCATGACATAATGACATTATCATATGTGCGATCATTTTATAAATAACCACTTTATTATCAGATCCTTCCTCGTAAGGTTTATTGAAGAAAGCTTGCCGATATTGTTTAACGTTAGCAAAATCAGACATTTATTTGTTATTTACGTATGTGTCTGGTATTACAGCGAACTCACATTGGTTATGTGCGACACTTATTACATGTATGCAGACCTTAGTCAAAAAGATATTCATGCAAAGTGCCGACTATCGTACTCCATCACTTGCCGCTGTGTCATGAATTTTCTTTATAAATACACCAATCCTGTCCATTTCTCTCCGCCCTTCGTTATAACAATATATAAACGATCTATCATGATATAACATTGCCTGTTATATTGATCTTGATAATATTTCCAAATTCATCAGACATATACATATGTGTATTTATTAGATGCATATAGTTCTTCACTTTCGGTGGGAGCATGGAAATTTTCCTTATTTCTTTGACTAAATATATTATGCCTTATTGGTATGCAAAGTCACGTTAACAAATCCTTTCTTATTCACACTATTACTATTTCTCGAGTTTAATACGACCTTTCCCGAGGGTATCCTGCTTATTTAAACATAATATATAATAATACAGTCTGTACATATACACATGCAAACTCACCTATTTCAATAATGACTTTGACCTCGCTTGTCGGAAAGTTCATGCCCGTCGTGGTGCTATCACTGGTCGGTTATACTTATTATGTGTTTGTCTATCGAATATGTGGTAGGATTTTCTTTTTGTTACTTTCTCGGTGATTTCACGGCTTGTCCTTACGTGTTAGTTTCGCGTCACGCAACGACCGAAGGATAGGAGTGTTTGGCGTAGGGAACGGAATGTTGCTGCGTGATTCGTTTGATTGAAATTGTACACTAATGAATGCTTCATTATCGTTCGTCCGTTAGCCACGACATCCTTCAAGATAAAAAAATAATAGATATATATATACTGTATATACATACATATGTATATATAAGTAAACAAAATTAAATTCAAAAATTAAATTCAATAAATCTCCAATCTGTTCTTTATTCTAGTTGTTCCGTTAATAAAGCAGAACCATCAGATCGTTCAAGCTGGTACGCTCTTTTTATCTATGCACGAACACACGTATACTCCATTACCTTTTTAACCTTCGTCGATCTATCATCATCATATTTAGTGGTGTATTTGGTGATTTTCGACATTTTATTTTTTGCGGTCCTAATATCATACTTTCGAATATTATTTCGAAATCCTGGTTTTCCTCCGAGTGTAGGTTACCTTTAATTCAACCTTCGAGTGTGTACTGCCTTAATTGAATTTGTCATTCAATGTCAATTTGCTACCGCGCCCCGTAGCCTCCTGGGCGAATCCAACCGCCAAACCTCTCCGGCAACGTTGTCGCCGCGAGTACCTTGAGTACGTCGGAAACCACAAGTCCACCACTAACAACGATGCCCGCTTCATTTTCGAAGCGACACACAAATCCCATATCGAATCCGAATAATTCTTCAAATGTTGGCGCATTGGATGCACTATTACCAACGGAGGGCTCAACTTTTGACGCCACCTCTCCATCATCTCCTCCTCCGTCGCAATGTGCGAGCGTGGCCATACCGATGCCCAGCACCTTTGTGTGTAAGAGGGATGGAAGACTGAGGTGGTGCGACAGGTGTAATCATGTTAAACCTGATAGGTGTCACCACTGTTCAGAGTGCGATCGTTGTGTGCTAAAGATGGATCAGTATGTTCACTTTTGTTGTACCATTTGTTTCATTATCATCTTTTTTTTAACAGCGAATGAATTTTTTTGCCCTTCGTTACGAAGCCATTGTCCATGGTATTTATTTATCTATTTCGTTCTTTTTTCTTTTCTTATTCACACATTCTTACCTCTCTTCAAAATCAGGGTGAATGGCTGCGTGGGCTACAGCAATTATAAATACTTCTACTTGTTTATATTATATACTTCTCTTTATGCCGATTTTACTTTTGCCGCGACGGTACCTGTTGTGACCAAACAGTTGAATGTATGATTTCGCATTTTACCCATCTTTACATAATCCTACTTATGCGCGTGCTATCACATGTGTACGTCGCACAATCGATTCCGGAAAAGACGCGTTGGATTGTTTTATTAATTATCAATTGATAACTGTTGATTATGTAGGATGGATTAGATGTACAGTGGATAATTATTCTGATACTGTGAGCGTAGATTCTGTTTCTTTCCTCGAGCATCATTTCGTTTCCCGCATACTTACCCGATTGATCCATTCTCGATTCGTCGCGTGATTTCACCAAAGTGCATTCGTATTTGGCTTCTTACTAACAGGATTCACAATGGTCCACACAGCCTACGTGCTCCAGAATAGGACAACTATAGAGAGCTTATCATTCAGTTCACGGGTATATTACTTACGTGTACGATCCGAGATGGGCGGTCAGTCAAATTATGGTACGGCCAGTACAAGACCCGGTGAGAACTTATGGGACATGGGATGGAAGCAGAATTGGAGGAACGTGATGGGAAACAAATGGTGGTTGTGGTTTGGTGAGTGCTTTACCAGGATGTTCTTGAGTCGATGACATTGATTCACGACTTATTTTGTCCGATTCATGTGAATAGTACCTGTCGGGGATCCTTCCGGAGATGGTCTGTCATATCCCTTCAACTCAAATATACATGATCGATTGATGGAAGAGGCAAGGGGTGTACGGATTCAGGACGAACGAATGTCGGCAATGATGCAACGAGGACAATAACCAAGTGGCGCGGCCGGATGAAATGACGGATGATGGTAGTAATGAGTGAAAGGACTTTGATAAATTACTTTTTTAAGAACATTAGCTTTTTAATCGTTCGTGTGGCAGTTGCATTTTAGAATCGCTGGGATAAACTTGTCTGTAAAAAAAAAAAAAAAAACCAAAAAAACATTAAATCAAAAATTTAACGTTAACCTACGACTCGATTTAGATCACGTGATAAAAATACGTTGGTCAATAAATTTGACACGCAAGCGTCGTATTACATACATGTATATAAATAAAGTCCGCTGGACTTTTTCAAGAGGAAGCGTTTGCAAAAAAAAATTTTTTTGTATACTTGTTTTAAGCAAGATACCGCTCAACAGTCTGAGACTGCTCCTTTGAAAATCCCTCAATTGCAGTTTTTTTTTTCGTTTTTGCGGCTTGTTCAGCTTTTGCTTGTTTCCATTTTTTTTTTTTTTTCAATTTTATCATCCATTCTTTCAAAAGAAAGAAATGGCACTTTTTATTGGAAGGTATGTGGAGAGAGCAAACGGGAAAACGTCTTTTCATATCGTATTACAAATCTTGGTGCCCAACTTTTTACCGTTATTTTTTCAGACTGGCGCTTGACACTCACCCCAGAGATCTCGAGCATATCTTTGACAAGTTTGGACGCTTGAATCGATTGGAAGTTAAGAGAGGTTATGCATTTGTCGAGTATCAGGACCAGAGGGATGCCTCTGACGCAATAAAGGAAACAGACGGTTTGGTGTGTAGAATGAATAAGGCTTTACTTTAGAAAGTGGTTCTTCTTTTTTTGGGTTTTGGGTTCCGTATTTTCTTTTATGTAAAAAAAAAAAAATTATGCATATATATATATATATATATATATATAAATCGCTCTTGGCGCTTGTTGTTCACGGCTTTATTCCATCTAGCGAGTACGCGGCAATAGAATTGTTGTTGAATGGGCAAAGAATGGTGGCAAAAAACCTGGTATGCTTTTTTTATGAACACCTTTTGACTCGTATTCGTCTAGACGATAAGTAAAATGCTCACGCCGTCATTCTAATCCACCGCGATTCAGCTGAAAATCAATGTTTCAAATGTGGCAGAGAAGGTATGTTTGACGAGAATAAGAGGGTGTCGGGATCTCATGTTCTTAATGATTAGAAAATTTATTTAAAAAATTTGCGCCTATTTTTTTTAGGTCACTGGGCAAAGGATTGTCGCTCTTATCGTAAAGAACGACGTAGGAGTAGGAGTCCAAGAAGAAGGTTTGTTTTCGTGAAAGTCGTTTCTTTTATTGATAATTTACTTGGTCTTATTGCTTCCGAGAAAATCGTTAGGGTTTGAGAGATCATGTCAACGGTACCTTCATCGTGAGTCTAGAAAACCATTCGCTTCATTTGGACGTATAAATGTCATCTTTGTCTATTTAGCCGAAGTCACTTTTCTATGAGTCAGAAAGAACCGTTTGCCCGTTTTATAATCTACAAGAAATTGTTTTAAAAGAACTAGCCGCGTTTGTGTCGGATCCGAGTTGTTCATCAAAGAATCATTCCTGTCCGTTAACACTCGTCCGACTCTTCCATAAATTTGACATTGGAACCGTTAAAAATCCGTAGTCCGTTTTCTGAATTTCCACGAATTTCAATGGTCGAGTCATGATGACTTCCGTGTCAAAGAAAATTGCCGTCTACTTTCTATTCCGCCGTTCTGTTTCCATATTTTGTATTATTATATGTATTCTATTCACCTCTTCAAAATTTTTTCAACTTAGCCCGAGTTACTTGGGCCGTAACAACTCGCAAAAAATCTCTTCCATGACCGAACTATGTTAACTCCAACAGTTCCTCTCTCTCCACCTTTTTAGATCTCGATCTCGGTCCCGTTCTCGAACACGATCCCGAACACGATCCCGCTCCCGTTCTGCCCGGAGGTCACCAACTCCAAGGCATGATCGTGATCGCGACGACCGCGATGAACGATATTCCAGTAGATATTCGGGTGACGAGAAAGGCTCACCTCGTGGAGAACGTCGATACTCGTGAGCAAGATTTTGTTTTGTTAAAATCTCCGAGATTGATCGACGACCGATCTAATTGATTCTTCTCGTCTACTTGCAGGGCGGAAAGGTCATCCAGTGAGCGTTAAGGAGAATTTATATTTAATACTCGAATCGTCGGTAAATTTTGCCGATACGTTCTTTTTTTTTTTTCACTCGGGTTAATCGTTGGTTCTTTCTCTTTTTCTTTTTTTTCTTTTTTTTTTTTGCGATCAACTGCTATCGTGTCTTCGATCCGTAAAGTTTTGCTTCTTACGCCGATACTGTGCTCTCACCCCAACCCTCTTTTGTTCATTCTCACCAAGGATCGTTCTTTTTTTTTTTTTTGGAGAAGAAAATTTGCGATCTTTTGAACTTATAACGAATAAAGAATCATTTTATTTTTCACTTTGCTTTCTTGTGCCCATTTTACGTTGAATTTTTTATTTGGAGTATGTACGCCAATCTACTGAACGCATAGAAGTGCAAACTCCGCGAATCGATGTTTCAAGAGGTTGTCTTTTTGCCTGAAGAAAGTATTATTAAAATAAATGTCTTTTTTTTTGACTATATATATGTATTTTTCCTTTTTTTTTTTTTTTTTTTCCTTTTTGTTGCAACATAAGTGTACCACTTCCTCCCAAAATTATATCGAGTTAGGTGATGATGATAATAAATCAAAAAAGAAAAAGAAAAATTCCAGTATATATAAAATCCAATACATGACAAAGTTTAATTTGCGATGCATTTTTTCAAACTGTTAAAAGTAATAACTGAGGTGGAAGAAAGTGAGTCCGGAAATTATAATACAAAGAAATTATGGAACAGGAAAGGTGCGTAAACACTGGTAAGAAATTATATTGATAAATGAGATGTGCAAATGTGATAAAGCATAGTATAGGCAGATGATCACCAAACAGTATCCGATTATGTCGGTACTCTCATATTCCCATCGCTTAATAGGGTCTCGATCCAATATAAAATTATTTCGACTGAACGTGTCGTCCAACGCTCATCACGAACAACTTCATAAGGCAACCAGTCGCTATACGTGGCGCCTTGGTTGCTCTCGAGGACGAAGACGGATGTAATTATACCGAAGAGATAGACAACCAAGGTATACAGCGCGAAAGTGACAGTGCTATTGACTATAAGATTATTCTGCGCGACGTTCAATTTATTGTTGCACGGAACCAGTGCTTTTGACGACTGTACAGCTTGGGAATCGGTCTTCTCGGAAGTTTGTGGCTGAAAGGAGAGCGCCGAGACATGAGAAAACAATACGAGTACGATACACGCATTTTAAATTTAAGTCATAATTGTGAGAGTAACAAACCTCAGCATCCTGAATAAGATTATTTGCTGTGTAATCGACATAAAACGTGCAATGCGTCAATGAGTGCGATAAACATAAAAAGAAGTTATGCACATGATTAAAGTGAACCAACCTCGTCGTTTACTATTTTTTCGTCGTGACATCCTCTGATATCTATCTATATTCTCGCCATCAATACTATTGCGAATCTGTCTATCTCTCCTATCATGGGAGTTGTTCCTCATGATACCTTCGATCAATGCGTATTGAACTCCAAGCTCTGATGACAATATTTGATATTGGGCTTCAACTTCACGATTTCCATTAGGATTACTACGTATCATACCGCTATTATTGCTTGGCACTAATGAACGTCGACTGCTCCTAGAACCGTTTGACTTACGACTGCTTTGATCGATGAGGGATCGTTCATTATCATTTGCTGGTAAGTTTGTGAGTTCGTCATTTGTATTGCCATCTGATGCGTCATTGGGATGCCTTGAAACCTAGAATTATCAATTTCGTTAGCAAAACTTAATTTAAATTTCCGTTGTCAAGAATGACTACCTTGTTTGATATCCTATTGAAGTCGTCGGTATTCGAATCGGAACCGGGTTGTTGCTCTTCGGATACAGATGCCCGTGCTCGATCAAACAGCTCGGTTCGTAAATCCTGTTTTGATGGATGGCACCGTTTTGTAAGCATAAGAAACTTCATTCACGAAAATCAAATAGTCGAGGCCAACATACCTTGTATGTGTCACCTTCAACCACACTGAATTCATTAATCTGTCGTGATAAATTGAAATAAGCGTCAATAAAGAATGGCTATGACCAACTGTGGTTCTCCGGTCTCATAATATTACGAACCTTGAAGTCGGTGATGTCTCCTACAACATCATATTCAGTAAGCTTCCATTAAGGATTCAAATCTGAAGGAAACGGAGATGCATTGTCAAAAACAATCATTTAAAAAGGATATTTTTTTATATTTGCCCTCCCACTCCGTATCTCTTCCAAATTAATTTTCAATTTGTCAATCGTTTCTTTAAGATGCATGTTCTCGTTTCTTTGTTCTTCAAGTTCCTTCTCTGAAGCTTGAGCAGCTGCAACATCTTGTTCCAACTTGGTCAACGCCAATTCGAAACGTTCTCGCTCGTTGGCCCACTTATTCATTAGTGTAAATGCTCGTCAGAAAATAATGTATTCAATAGAAAGAATCCTGCCTAATTAACTTACCTTTCTCTCTTCTTGCGAGATGTTGCGCTGCGTGGCACCCAATTCTTCTTCCTTGACCCTTACTTGATCACGAAGTTTCTCGGCTTCCGCTGTAAATGTTGACAAATTTCAAAAAAAAAAAAGAAAAAAAAAAAAAAAAAAAAAGTGAAAATTTTTACTTACCGGATTGCTCTTCGTATTGTTTTCTAAGTTGGTGATATAGTTGTTTTTGTACGGTCAAATTCTTTCCCACCTTTTGGATTTCTGTCTCCAACTAATTTAATCGCGACCAGATAAATATAAAGTAAACATTAGCTATTAGTCGAAGAATTCGTTGTGCATTCAATCCGCCAGTTAACTACGTACAGTTGAAATTTGATACAAATTAGATTTCTCATTGTTTTTGTGTTCTTGAATCTCTCGTTTTTTGACTACAAGATCCGCCTTGGTTTCTTCCAGTCTATGCTGAAGTTCTTCGATACGATCCTCGTGTTGTCGGGCCACAGATGCTAGATGGCGTTCCGATTCTTTAAGTCGTTTAGTAAGATCGACAGTATGACGATACAAACGGCTGAGTTGGACAGCGGGATCATCGTTTGTCTAAAAGAGTGTAACGTGAAGAGTCGATTTAACGCAACCCGTTTCTTGAGAATAAAAAGAGTGTATGCGTTCTTACCGGTAACAACAGTTGAGAAACTGATTCATCAAATCCACCATTGCCTTCAAATGATGTCTCGGCAAGATCTTCGATGGAATCGTAGTAAGACTTTGCATAATAACTGGAAGATGATCTTCTTGGGCGTGTGGTGGCCGTACCATTACTTGAAACATCGTGGTTTTCTTCCCCCTTCAAAAGTTTGTAACGCAAAGGTTTACCAAAAAAATTTTTCGAAGGGCATATTGCTATCAAAATTATTTACGGAACTTACATCGTTCTCTGAGGTGATAGGTTCTCTGTTCCGGAAGTTAGACTTATTGTTTCGTTCGGGCCCAACTAGATGTCGAACTGGAAGACGATATGATTTAAATTTGGTAGTCAGTTTCCTGGTACTAGTTGAATCTGTGGAGACGGTGGAATTGGTCGGGATTGCTGGGGCAAGCTGAGCGGGTGTTTGGAGCTTGGCTATAAGCTGAAGGACGTCTTCGATAGACACCTCCATATCTGGATTTTGTTCGCAAAACATTTGAAAGATGGGCCTGGTATCGTCTTTCAGCAAAGAAACACTCTGTTCGTTTTCAAAGCGCTCGATCATATTAAAGAGATCCTTGGAAACGATCCTCCCAAGGCCTGTTTTATCAAAGGGCTCAAATATTTTTTCTAATTGCGCCTTAAGGGCCTTGTGTTCGAGATCCTATTAATTTGGTAAGTTAATGGTATAATAAACCATAGTAATCGCGATGCAAACAAAACCTCATTACCGAACAGAAAAAAAAAGATTGAAACTAAACATTTCAATTCTAAAAGTCAAATGATGTAAATGTAAACAGACCTCGTTTTCCCTCGATTCTTCAGATGTGAGCAACTGGGACCCGTCTGCACTTGATGATTCGTTTTTGCGATCCATATCCAGTGTCTGATAGCGTTTGTTTGCGATTTATCTTCACAAGGAAATT